TAATTCATTTACCTCACAACAGCCCTCTGAGGGTAGGTACCGATCTTATGGCTATTTTATAGGTGAGAAGTGAAAAGCAATGAAGAGACTGGAAACTGCTTAAGGTCATACTTCTATCCAGGATTCAAACCCAGCAATATAGTTCCAGAACCTACACTCTACTACTAAACACTCTACAGACATACATTATTTTAATAATTGTCTCTGACTAGATTATTTTAAGGGCAGTGATGGTTCCTTAAGTGGTAGAATTCTCCTTCCATGTGAAAAACACAGATTTCATACCTAGACTTTAAGTGCAGCCACTAATCCTCTGTCATGGGAGGCTTGTGTGTTGCTATGATGCTGAACAGGTTTCAGTGGAGTTTCCAGACTGAAACAAATTCTAAAAGGGACAAACTCTGAGACAAACACCAGGAAAAAAGACCTGGTGATAGACTTCCAAAAATCAGCCAGTGAAAAACCAGTAGATCACAGTGGTCTAATCTCTCAGTGTGCATGAAGTCACATGACTTGGACACCAACTAGATAGCAGCTAACAACAGCCGTATTTTTGGCCAAGTGAAATCAATCAACTAGGGTAAACTGTAACCTTTCTTAATTTTTCAAACAAGGGCATATTTAAGGGCCTTGAATTAGCCTATGATCCCTGTTGGTGCAGTGATTAAGTGCTGTGTTGCTAACTGGAAGCTTAGCAGCACAGCTTGCGCTGTAAGGGGATGTGTCAGTCTGCTTCCATAAAGATTTACAGCCTTGCAAATTCTATGGGGCAGTTCTGCTTGCCCTGTAGTGTTGGTTTGAGTTGGAATCAACTCAAAGACAATGTTTTTTGTTTGGGTTGGATTAGTCTTTATTGATGAACTCTAAGACAACCAATTATATTGATTTTATCTATTCCAGAGGTATAATGAGACAAGGCTTATGGAAATGGCAAGTGTAGTTCTGGTGGACAGTTTGAGGGTGTAAGGAGAGAGAGAGATGGGAGAGTGTAATTCAATTTGATCATATTTTCTGTGTGTAATAGGTGCTCTGACACTGTGAATAATTCTGGTTTCTGACCTTGGGAGAGCCAATGTGAAGAAATGAGAGAGAATATGTTCCATTTGATATGACCCACATAGTATATTCTCAAGAAGAGCACCGTAAAGACCTAGAGGATGACACTAAGACTGGGGAAGAGAGAAGGAGGATCCTTTACAAGAACTGAGTTTACTGTGAGCAGGCTTTGAGCACGGGCCCTTGCTAAATCATAAAGGGATACAAAGTAAGAAAACTAGCAACCAAAAAGCACTGACTGAGCAACTTCAGCAGAGATAATGCTGCGCAAGCACCTGGCCCAGAGCCTAGGGCTCGGAGAGGGGAGAAAGGGACAAATAGCACAGAAGAAAGCAGATGACCATGTCAACAAACACCAAAAAATGGCAGTCTAAATGTATATCATTGATTATCAAAATTTGCTAATTAGATGGTGTCGATCATACCCATTGGGACTGTAAGACTTAAAAGTTAATTCTTCTGGTGATGTGTGTGTGTGTGTGTGTGTGTGTGTGTATAACCAATTACTGGTTTCTTGTAAGTTTAAAAAGTTATTTGCTTCCCTAATAGAGTTTTCTCTGTTATGGTTCTTCACTTAAGCCCCCATCCTATTACATTCTAAGTTCTTCTAAATGTGGTTTGTGTCTGGGCTATAATAAAACTTAAGGAAAATTTAGAATAGTTGCCTAATGAAACCTTGTTTGTCAAATTTAGGTTTACCTACCAGGTGAGGAGGCAGAAATAGCACCATTCGTGCCTAGAGCAGTAGAGCATCTTTTTTTTTTTTTTTTTTTTTTAATGTTTTGTGGATTATGTGATAGTTTACATGGGAGAACATTAGCTTTACATTCATCCTATCAGATGTCATTTCATTGCCATGGTTACAAGCCCCTCAGTTATGCCTTTTTGCAAATAATTTTCTGTGAGGAATTTTCTTTTCTTTTATTGGTTTGAGGCTATCACACTTGGAATCATGGAATTTCCTTTTGTCTTCTTCCTGCTATCTTTCTCATGCTGTTGGGTAAAACTGAGCAGCTACCTCAGGAAATGAAGTGATTAAAATCTACAAGCTTATAAAATGAGCTATGGGGGACAAAAGTGTTCTTATTTGTGCTACATTTCGAATTAGAAAACTACATTCAAAGTTGTTTCGAAATAGAAACATTAACCTTTGTTAATGAATGATACTTTGTGACTCAATTATTTTTCCTCAGTGCTTGTTTTATCAAGGAAGATTCAAACTTGTTTCTGTCTTCTTTTTAGGTATACCCGAAATCTTGTGGATCAAGGAAATGGCAAATTTAATCTGATGATTCTGTGTTGGGGTGAAGGACATGGCAGGTAAATACAACTGTTCAGTATCTATTCCAGCACTTGAAAACTACAATACCAGGCTAGCTACAAGTCTATGAACACTAGTAAATCTCATTTTATAATTTTTTGTTCACAGTGTTCCCCAACTCCAGCAAAAAGTCTCAAAGGAAGTAGCATAGGGTTTTTTAATCAAATCTATTACCAAAGCATGAAGAGTCAATCAAAGAGAGGAAATAACCAGTTTATTTTAATCTGTTTTTGTCTTCTTTGGAGTTAAACTTTACTTGGAATTATGTTAAAACTTGACCTTTGTGGTGCTTTGAGGCATATGTAAACAATCATGGGACCAAAGACCAAAGCACCTAGATGCTGGAGCTTTTAGAAAAGCAATTCACAAATTCAGAAAATTTCTTCCTCCTTTAAGTTACTTTTATTTTTTCCTTTATCTAAAGGGTAAGACAACTTAAACTCATATTTGTTCCTATACGCCTGCCACTTTTATTACCAGCTGAGAATTGTTCCCTCCTTAATTCAACTTTCTCAGTCTTTTGAGAAACAGTGAAACAAATAACCTAGGCCCATGTTTGCTGGGAGAAGGGACACATGAATTCACAAGGGTTTGGAAAGTTGATTATCAACTTCATCCTCTATGTGGTTGTTGCTAATTGTCGTCGAGTCAGTTCCGACCCATAGCAACCCTGTGTAGGGTTTCCAAGGAGCGGCTGGTGAGCTTGAACTGCCGACCTTGTGGGTCTAACTGACTTTGCAATCCAGCACATTAGCCCCAGAGTGCCACACCGGTACTCCTTAGAGGACTTTATTTATATATATGGAATGGAGTTGTTTTCATTCATTATTTCTCTCAATGTAGTTTGAAAGCAGATTTTATGTCAGGAACAGGCTCTAAGAATTTTGGAATCCTATCCTTATAGTGTATAAATGAATTAATAGAATTCAGCATATGAAATAAATGCCAGAAATTAGACAGGTTTATACAATGTAACATCACTTATCCCAGCTCCTCCCTGTATTTCAAAACCCATTACCATTCCCTTTCTTTCCTAGCCCTTCTGAATTTTGTCATTTTGATTTTAAATGCTTGATTATTCTAAGGTGTGCATACCACCCCCGTGTTATTGTTCACCTTATTGTTTGGCTGAAAACTGAGTCATAGAGGTGAGTTTATTTCCAGACCTAAAAGGTCCATAGTCTCAGGTGTTCTACCGGGCTCTCTCTGACCAGTAAACCTGGTCTTTTCTTTTCTTTTTTTTTTTTTTTTAATGATTTAGAGATTTGTGTTGAATTTTTCTCCTCCTCTATCCAGGACCTCCTAATACCCTTTTAGAGTAGTTGGTAACAGTACCATCTAGTTCTTCTGGTCATGGAGACTCATGTTCATGTGGTCCATTAGTCAATGGCACTAACTAGCATCCAAGCATCTTCACCTTTCATCAATCACCCTTCTTTTCTCTGAACAGGGAGAGACCAATAATTATATCTTAGATGAATACTCATGAACTTTTCAGACCCCAGTCACACTAGCAATCAATGTACAATAGAACGTTGCCTTTGTGAAGTGTATGCAACTGACCTTCATTCCTTCCCACCCTGCCACCTGCCACAAAACCATGGTTTCGCCAAACCCCATTTACTTTTCTTTCTACTACCAATATTGGGAGATAATCTCAGGTAGGATGCTCTCTAAAACTACAAAACTTTTACATTCTACATACTTCATGCTATAATTTTATGACTTTAACACACATACAGTCTTTTTTCCTAAAGGAAAGAGAAAAAGCCTAGGGGGAAAAAGCTGAACTATTGTTTATCTCAGTGGCACAGTTACTGTAGATGATGGTCTTTAGCTTTTCCAGACTTTTTCTAATGTACTTTTATAATCAAGTTCTGACTCAGCTTAAGTGAACTATTAAAAACTAATATCTCAGGGGAAAATGAAAGGCTTTTTTTATTTTTTATTTTTTTACTTTTATCAAAGTAGTATTATAATAGGGTTTTTTTTAAAAAGTCTTTAATGGAGGTGTTTATCAAAACTGAACCTCTTTTATGCATTGGTATTGATATGGATGGTATATTTTTGCTACTCTGCCCTGAACAATATTGATTGTAAACTGATAACATTTCAAAAATCCAGCTCTTATGGATTTTGGCCTGAGAGATTCCTATTGAAAGTGGTGCAACTGTAGCTCTGGGGGCAGACTGTTATTGCAGGTCTGAATAATGGACCATTTTCTGAGCTCCGTTTTCATTTTGTGCATCTATAGCAGTATCCATGATCACACCGACTCCCACTGCTTTCTGAAGATGCTACAGGGCAATCTAAAGGAGACACTCTTTGCCTGGCCTGACAAAAAGTCCAACGAGATGATCAAGAAGTCTGAGAGAATCTTGAGAGAAAACCAGTGTGCCTACATCAATGGTAACATTCTAGACCTTTTTCAAAGGGCAGGTGGGAATAATCTTGAGCTCCTAGCTGAACAATTGGATGCTTACACATGATTTTTCAAATACTTTGGAAATATCCTAGAAGTGGGGGAGAGGGGGGGCTAATTTTTAAGGCTTTACACCTGGATTGGAGTCACACACAAGAAAATGTGCATGCAGATTAGTGTCCACTGAAGTCATTTTCTGCCAAGACTTAGGACAATTAGTCAAATATGAATTATAAGTAGAATTTTTTTTAACAAAAGATGAAATTAGAAATAGTATCTTTGTTTTATAAAATGGTCTGTATATGATTAAGAATGTTAGCTAGTCCCTGTTTTTTGTTTTGCCTTTCTAATGTATTTTCCTCTGCCCTTGTATTGATTCTGACTCACATGATCCTATAGGACAGAGGGGAACTGCTTCTTTGGGTTTCTGAAGCTGTATGTCAATTTTCACAGGAGCAAGAAGCCTCTTTTCTCCTGAAGAATAGCTGGTGGGTTTGACTAATCTAACCATGTGGTTAGCAGCCCAATGCTTACCTCCTATGCCAGCCACCCACTACCATAGAGTCAATCCCAACTTCTAACAATTATATATAAATCTTTATGGGAGCAGACAGCCTCATCTTTCTCCCACAGAGTGGCTGGCACTGTGGACCAGCAAAGAGCTCCTGTTAGCCTACGCCACAGTGCTACCAGAGCTTTATGTCGCTGGGGCTCCTTTAGTACATATATTGTTGTTGTTGTTAAGTGCTGTCAAGTCAGTTCTGACTCAGATGATCCTGTATCTGATTCCAGAAGAGTAGCTGATGGGGTTGAAGTGCCAACCTTCTGTTCACAGTCCAGTGTTTATCCTACAGGCACACCAGGGGTCTTTAATGCCTATGTTGTTATTGTTAAGTGCCATTGAGTCGGTCCCGATTCATAGCTACCCTGTATAGGGTTTCTGAGAAGCAGCTGGTGAGTTTGAACCACTGACTGTGTTTCACAGTCCAGTACTGATTTTACAAACACCACAACAGGAACCCATAGCAGGTTTACAAGCATATCTGCAAGGAAACTTTTACAAAGCACATTACTTAGTAGTGATTTATAGATACCTTACCAAGAACTCACTTTTGCCTTTAGAAGTGACATAGGGTTGTTGTTGTTGTTGTTGTTAAGTGCCTTCAAGTCAGTTATAGTGACCCTCTATAGGGCTTCTGAGCCTTTAAACCTTTGTAGGAACAGAAAGTCTCAGCAAAGCAGCTGGGCGGACTTTGTGGTTCACAGTCCAGTACTTATTGTGTGGAGCCATTGCGCTCACTGTGAAACAGGAGAGTCAAATGCTTTTCAGGAGAAAGGCATGTTCCTAAAAAGGTAGTAATGTTCCAAAACACTCATTAAAATTTATATGGGATATTTTTCATTCCCATTCACAGATGAGGATGCCATGATAAATCATTTGCTCAAGGTCATGCAGCTCTAAGTGGCTGTCAGGATTTGAACCCAAGCAATAAGGAGCTCTGGTAGCATAGTGGTTACAAGTCGGGCTGCCAACCTTAAGGTCAGCAGTTCAAAACTACCAGCTGTTCCGCAGGAGAAAGATGTAGCTTTCTGCTTCCGTAAAGATTTACAGCCTTGGAAACCCTATGCAGGGTCACTATGAGTCGGAGCCCACTTCACAGTACATAACAACAATATGATTCCACATTGCCTACTCTTAATACGGATGCTGTCTTGTTTATATGAAATAGAGGATTGCTGAGATTTTTTTTTCCAGCAAAGCAATTATCTTTCTGTTTTGGTTCATTTGTTTTTTTGTTTTGTTTTGTTTTGTTTTTTTGCATATCTTAGAGTACAATCCTAGCATTAAATTTTCCCCTAAATTTGTTAGATCTTTAGTTAAGGAACGCAAGTCACTTGCAAAGATCATGTAGGAAGGTTTTTCCCCCATTCATATAGCACAAGGGTGTGAGCTTCTTAAGTTTATTTACTGAGGTATTGAAGGTTGTGTGGTGCCATAGGGCCAGCACTGGACTATGAACCACAAGGTTGGTGGTTCAAACTCCTCAGTTGCTCCTCAGAAACCATACTCAGGGTCGCTATGAATTGGAATTGACTCGACAGCACTTAACAATAAATAGTAATGCATAATGTGGGAAGTTCTGTTGTGGTGCTGTAGGATAAACACTGGACTGTTAACCAAAAAGTCATTGGTTCAAGACCACCAGACGTTCCTCAGAAACTTAATATAAGGTCACCTCGGAAACCCTGTACAGGGTCGCTATGGGTCGGAACCGACTCGACGGCACTTAACAACAACAACAACAACAACAACAATGAGTCAGAACTGACTTGACTTGCACAGAAACAATGCATTGGGTGGAGTCTTGGTGTGGGAGAGCACCGGATTGCTAATGGAAAGGTTGGTGGTTCAAACCCACCAGCCATTCCTCAGAAACACTATACAGGGTCTCTATGCATTGTAACTGACTCACTGAACTTAGCAACAGTATTAACATGCATAAGACCTACCTGATTCCCAAGAAGAGTTAGTTGTCTGTCCTTTCAATGACACTTTCAACTAGTGTCATTGAAAGGAGCTCTGGTAGCGTAGTGGTTACAAATCGGGCTGCTAATCTCACGGTCAGCAGTTAAAAACTACTAGCTGTTCCACAGAAGAAAGATGAGGCTTTCTGCTCCTGTAAAGATTTACAGCCTCGGAAACCCTATGCAGGGTCGCTATGAGTCAGAACCGATTCCACGGCACACAACAACAACAACAGTGTCATTGAGCTTTTTTTTGTGAAACTTGATTAGCTCTTCAAGAACAGATATGCTTTATCAAGGGTCTGTAATTCAAAAGTCTATAGTGGTGAACACTGTGATAAAACTGGGGAGCAGGCCACATGATCTAAGGGGGCAGCAGCGGCCACTCAGTTCCAATGAGATAGTCCTGATTTCTGTTTCCATAGAAGTTGGAACTACCAAGTTTTAGGTGAAATTGCGCCAATCTGTAAAATATTGGATGAGATTAACTAAATACTGTTTGTAGACAAATAACTCAAAACCAGTTACTGTGGAGTTAACATCAACTCATGGCAACTCTATGTATGTCAGAGTAGAATTGTGCTCTAAAGAGTTTTCAATGGCAGAGGTTTCATTTTGGCAAGGCTTTCATCCAAGGTATCTCTGAATGGACTCAAAGCTGTAATCTTTTGTCTAGCAGTCCATGCATGTCTCTGTGGACACACATGTGCATGAAGTGGCATTGGCTGGGAATTGAACCCTGGTCTCTTGCATGGGGCCTGGTCCTTCAAGAGTTTTTTGGTCAGTTGGGTTTTAACTGGAAATGTCTTCTTCAGTTTGGAAGCAGTGTTCAGCATAGGGTAAAGGTGAGGAAAGAATAGTGGTATGACCAGTTGCCTATTTTAATGGGCAAGAGGTGGACAGTTTCTGAAGCAAACTGGCACCCATAAGTTTCACCAAGAAAGGTGTCCAGATTACTGTACCACAGTGTACACAGCAGGCAAGACCAAAAAAAACGGAAAAAACCCCAAACCAAGATGAATAACAATAGGGCTCATACACAAGCCTGTGGATGTCAGGCAAGGTTCTTAAAAGGATGATAACTTGCTTTTACAGACTTTGTTTTACACACAAAATCCTATTTGACAATATTCTGGCAGGTAGGTGATGAAGAAAGTGGGAATTGTATCATTCGATATATAAATTCTCACTTAACTTGTCTATTTCACCCCATGGGTAGCTTATGATGTAATGTTGTCTCCTCTGGAAATAGGTAGGTAGCCTACCTTCAAGAATCCAAATTTTCACTCTTTTGTCTCTTTTCCCATCTTTGTGTCTACATGTTTATGCCTTTTTCAGTCTTTTATTATCATGCCTTACAGTTCTCACAAAGGAGCAGAGACTAGCACGCCACTTACCATCTTTAGCTGCAAGTTTAATCTTAACTGATTTCTCTGAATTTCACGTGCATCAAAACTGATTCATGATATTAGGTGACTAACAAAGTTTTTGTCTTCATTTGTTATCTAAACTTCTGCTTCTGTCCTTTCCTCTTGCATATTGTTTAGATTCCATTGGTTTACATCGGGTAGAGAATACCAGCCACACAGAGCCTGCTGTGAGCCTTCACCTCTACATTCCACCTTTTGATACCTGCCATGCCTTTGATCAAAGAACAGGGCATAAAAACAAAGTCACTATGACATTTCATAGCAAGTTTGGAATCAGGACTCCATTTGTAAGTATAATTTTCCTCCCTTAGGATGAAATGTTTTGCTAGGTATGGATTGATACTATTACATCATATGCATTGCTTTCCTGTTCTATATGTTATTTGAATACTTTCAGTATTTTTGGAGAAAAAGAGTAACTGTAAAGTTGGGGGAAAGGCCATACCTTAATTTTAAAAAGCTACAACTGGGTGACAGTTTTAATTATAAATAAAAGTGAAATGCAATTATTTAAACAACAACAACAACAAACCTTGAAATGTCCTGGTGTGGCACTGTACGATAAGCGCAGGACTGCAAGGTCAATTTGAACCACAGGGTCAGAGGTTCAAACTTGGACACCCTATTCAGGGTCTTCATGAGTCAGAATCGAATCAACTACACTCAACAACAATTAGGGAAATATGAATGCCAATAAAATAATTGCATGTAAAAATTATTGCTATCACATCTACTTTGCTGGAACTGTACAAATAACTTGCATGCTTAACCTTTGCAAAGCTGTCACCCTGTTCTGATGACATAAAAAAGGGACTGTTTCAATTGCTAAGTGTGATTTTTCTTTAAGTTATGCCACTATTTAGACCATAAACTGGCAAGAATATAATAACATATTTTCCTTTGAAGAACTAAAGTTTGCACCTAAAATATTAAGACAATCAATGTTCATATGATATGTCAATCTACTTCTGATGAAGTAAATTTACTATTTAGGGGAATGCCCTTTAATTAGTAAGCACAATGTTTAGAAATAGACAATACATAAAATCAGAGACTTAAAACATCTTCATAAATTTATGAAAGGACAGCCTTTGAGAGCAGCTAGAACAGAATTTTCTCAAGTTACGACTATGCTTTAGCTTTCTCAGTCCAGTCCCCAAAAGAGATGCTTATCACAGGAACAGAATAATTATGCCCCATTGTTATAGCCAAGTTCTACATGGTAGGAAAAGCAAGACAACTCACGTAGTAACCTTTCAGGTCTTATGTAAAAGATCCTTACATAGCTTTATTTTTTTTCTTTCTTTCTTAAAGACAACGTCAACTTCATTGGAGAATAACTGAGGAGCACCAGACCGTGTGAGGTTCTACTTTAAGGTCCAATGAACATCTTGCCTTGAACTGGAAGGCTTCCTATCATTTGCTGTGCAGTAATACACTTAAATAAGCCAATATTTAGATTGACTATAGGGCAGAGGCTAACTATAAGGCACTAAGTATGCAAATAGTATCTTGAGCGACTGCAGAAAAAAAAAAACGTATTAAAGAAAAAAAGTCTGTGATTTAAAAATCAATTGTTCTCCTGGTTCTATCTTCTAATTCCATTGGAACTGTGCTGGGACTGTCAATGAAGGTTTTTATAGGTTTTGGAAACTCTTTAGTCTCTGAACTGTAATTAGCAATTAAGTGAAAAATGCAGACATCATCTAGTCTGCCTTGCTACCTGGAGGACTAATATAGATGTCTTTAATGTACTTTGTATGTTCTTAATATTTGAAGAGAATATTTTAAATCTGTGGATTTTATTTTTTCAATCTTATTTTACAAATTCCTTTTCTATGGATAATAGGTGGTTGTAGATAGAGAAACGTAAAGCATTTTGTTATTTGGTAATGAAGCAAAGGGCAAGGGATTTAGGAAAGTACATGTGTCTAAACCTATAAAAACAAAACAAAACAAAAAAACCCCATCCTATATCTAATGTATCCAGTAGTCAGAGTCAAAGACTTCTTACTGCTACCAAAATTGCCAAATAATTTTAATAAAACTGGATTTGAGTACAACTTGACTTGTCCTTTTTGATTAACATGATAAGAATTTCCTATAAATCAAATTTTCTTGCTATTAGGTATACTACGAAATGTACTTCTGGAAAATCTATTATGCTATAAGAATGTGAGAAGGCGAAACAATGCATTTAAAGTCAATTTACCTTTTTGGACTTCAGTTGTATCTACTAATTAGGCTACAGATCCCAACCTGAGGGCCTCGGTCCTACTGTGACCCACAGACAAAATCAGGTTAGCCTGCAAATTATGTGTCTGTGTGTATGTATATGTGTTTAAATGTGAATTGGCTTCCAACATTTAAAAACTGAACATTTCATAGAAATATGTTTCTCTTCTTTGTTACTGGCAAAGCCTACATAGGTATATGAGTGAGAGCCTATTAGGGCACATGTAACAACAATAACAACAGCATGATGCATTTACAGCTAAAAAAATCTGTCATCGTATTTCCTGCCTGTAGAATATTGGGGGTCTGACAACCTTTCATTTAATCCAGTCTTGTTCTTTATAGTCAAGGTTGGCTGTGTTTCTGCTGATACAAAGATCCCAAGAACCTTATTGGTTTCCCATACATATGACAAGAGTCCTGGTGTGGTGTTGTAGGATAAGCACTGGACTGGTAACCTCAAAGTCAGTGGTTCAAACCCACTAGTCATTACTTGGAAATGGAATTGAGGACTGAAAGGCACTTAACAACAACAACTATGTATATAACAGGAATTCACTCCAATAGACAAGAGGTTTATTTATCCATAGATATTTCCTAGATGATTTAATCTCTATTTTTGTTTTTTGCTAAGATGGCCAAGAAACAACTCTTAAATATCCTGGATGCTTTCTGTTTTTATTAAGAGGACTTGTGACTCACACCTTTATCTCCTCAAAGAGCCTCAAGTCTGACCTTTTGATCCATCTGAGATAGTAGCAAAAGGTTGTGTAGGGCTTTCCTGCCTGAACTTTAGCCTCCCTTGCAATCTGGGAATTTGAAGTCATCAAGTACTGGTATAGTGGTGTTTTTGTTTTGGTTTCTTTTCATTGTTGTCAGGTGCCAGTGAGTCGGAACCAACTCACAGTGACCCTGTTCTGCACAGCAGAACGAAACAATGTCCGATCCTGGGCCAACCTCACTACCGCTGCCACACTTAAATCCATCAATGATGCCACCTGGCCCATCCATCTCGTTAGAGGTCTTCCTCTTTTTCTCTGACCCTCCACCTTACCCAGCATGACATCCTTCTCCAACAATTGTTTCCTCCGGACAATATGTCCAAAGTATGAGAGACGAAGCTTAGCCATCCTGGCCTCCAAGGAGCACTCTGGCCGCACTTCTTCCAAAACAGATCTATTGGTTCTTTTGGCAGTCCATGGAACTTTCAGTATTCTCCTCCAACATCACAACTCAAAGGCATCAATTCTTCTACGATCTTTCTTATTCACTGTACAGCTTTCGCATCCATATGAGGCTATTGAAAACACAATGGCCTGGGTCAGGCGCACCTTAGTCCTCAAGCTGACATCTCTGCTCTTCAACACTTTAAAAAGTGCCTGTGCAGCAGATTTGCCCAATGCAATATGTTGTCTGATCTCTTGACTGCTACTTCCGCGAGTGTTGATAGTTGATCCAAGAAGAATGAAGTCCTTGACAACTTCAATCTTTTCTCCATTGATAAGAATGTTGTTTATTAGTCCAGTGGTGAGGATTCTTTTCATAGTCCTTCCATAATTTATCTCTCTCCTTTCACATAACAACATAAATAGAATAAATCAGGCTACACACACCTTAACAATTTGCATGGAAATCTCAGATAAATGTCTGTTTTTAATCTTTACAAGTTTTGCTACCATATAACTTCAGAATGCAATTCAGTTATGTTGTCTGCCACTATATTGCAATGATACCCTTTCAGTTTTGTTTTGTTTTTTAATGTTTTATTGTGAATTATGTGATAGTTTACTTGGAAGAACATTAGCTTTACATTCACCCTATCATATATCATTTCATTGCCATGGTTACAATCCCCTCCATGCATCATCAACCAACCAAAGCATTTCTTTCAGTCTTGAATAATATGTTCATATTTTCCTTCTGGAGTCCTGGTGTGGCGTTGTGGGTTAATGCGCCAGATTGCAAGGCCATTTGAACTGCAAGGTTGGCGGTTCAAGCTCACCAGCTGCTCCTCGGAAACCCTATCCAGGGTCGCTAGGGGTTGGAACCAACTCGATGGCACTTAAAACAGCAACAACAACTTTCCTTCTGAGCTCTCAATATCCATATTTCCACTAATATTCTGTGCAGAAAAACTTAGTTTGTTCTCTAGGGCAATCTGTTTTTTCCTCTACTACCCTACTTGCTCCCTTCTCAATCCTCACTAGCAGAGTTGATAACATCCGTATTTCTAGTAAGTTTATTCAAGGTAACCTAGACTTTTTTCTGTCATGCTCCTCAAAAGGCTTCCAGCTTCTCCACATTTTTGGTATTTGTAACAATAGCACTGAATTTCCTGGGACCAAATTATCTATTTTCATAACCAAATTTTGTTCATAATAAAATTACCGCAGACTTAATTAAAGCAACACAAATTTCATGGCCAGCTTTATTATGGTTGTTTTTGTTAAGTGACAGGCTCATAGCGACCCAGTATAGGGTTTCTGAGGAGCTATTGGTGAGTTTGAATCACCGACCTTGTGGTTCAAACAAATTTTGAAGTCCTGTGCTTATTCTGTATTTTTTATTGTTGTT